CCAACTCATAGCGACCCCTCCTTGGGTTTCCGAGGCAGTATCACTATGGAAGTAGGATTGCCCAACCTTCCTTCCGAGGAGTGGCTGGTGGGTTTGAACCACCAGCCTTCTGGCGAGCAGTCAAGTGCCTTAGGCACTATGCTACCAGAGCTCCTGTTAAAAGGTTAGGTAGGCACAAATACTTACCTTCTTCCACTGTCTTCCCCATCTGCCCTCAATCCACCAGGCTTTCAGTAACTTCCTGTGGTCTCTTTTGTTAGCAGGGTTGATCTGGTTGTAGCAGGGAAGTCACGTGCATGTTCATGCAATTTTGGTGATGTTAACCCGAAAAGGAAAACTAAATTTAACTTCTTCAGTATTTATTGAAATATAAAATAATTGAATACTGTGTTTTGGGCTGCTTTAATTTTAGAGTCTTACATAAGTTTTTTTTATTTATGTCGAGAAATTTGGAAGACAGCTACTTGGCTTACTGATCAGAAGGGCTGTATATTTGTACCCATTATAAAAAAAAAAAAAACATGATCAAACAATACAATATACTAGCAAAATTCTGCTGAAGATAATTCAAACACAACTGCAGCTGTGCACAACAGGGACATTGCTAGCAGTTCAGAAGCCCGTGTAGAACAAGGGATAGCATTGCTACTATTAGATGGATATTGGGCAAAAGCAGAGAATACCAGAAAGATGTTTACCTGTGTTTTATCAGCTATGCAAAGGCATTGGACTGTGTGAATCATAATAAATGATGGATAACATTACAAAGAATGTGAATTCCAGAACATTTAATTGTGTTCATAAAGAACCTGTATAAGGGTCGAGAGGTAGCAGAACAAACTTTACTTATTTAATCTGTATGCTGAATCAATAATGTGAGAAGCTTAACGATATGAAGAACAAAGCAGCACAGGGTTGCAGGAAGACTGCTATATGCAGATGACATGGAGCTCTGGTGGCATAGTAGTAAGACATTTGGCTGCTAACCAGAAGATCAGTGGTTCAAACCCACCAATTACTCCGTGGGAGGAAGATGAAGCAATCTACTCCTGTAAAGATTTACAGCCTTGGAAACCCAGTGGGGTCACTGGGAGTCAGAGTTGACTTGATGGTAGTGGATTTGGTTTGGTTTTTGGTTATATGCAGATGACTCAACCTTACTTGCCATAAAGACAACTTGAAGCACTTACTGATGAAGTTCAAAGGCACAGCCTTCATAGATATGGAATACATCTGAACATAATGGAGAATCCTCACAGATGGTTCAATAAATAACATCATGAAACAAAATGAAGAAATTGAATGGTAAAGGATTTCATTCTACTTAGATTAACAATGCACACCCATGGAAGTGGCAATTAAGAAATCAAGCAATGTATTTCATTGGACAGATTTCCTGTAAAAGATCTCTTTAAAGTTTTAAATAGCAAAGATGTCACTTTGATGCTGTTGACTAGACCATAATGTTTTCAGTTACCTTTTGTATGCAAAAGTTGGAGAGTGAAAAATATAGAAGAACTGATGGGTGCAGACTGTGGTGTTGGCAAAGAATATTGAATATACTATGGACTGCCAAAGAACAGAAAATCATTGTTTCAAGGAATACAACCAGAAAGTTCATTAGAAGTGAGGATGACAACGAGACTTAACTCGCTTACCTTGGATACATCATCAGGAAAGACCAATCTCTGGAAAAGAACATCGTTTCATTTTCTTATGCCTTAGGTTGCTATAAATTAGAGCCTCCTCAACAGCAACTAACAACAGGAATATGAATTATTTTTAATTGAAATTTATTTTTGTTTTCTTGCTGGAAAAGCCTATAGTTTATTGGAAGAACACTCGTTAGCTCAGTGCCTGACCTAGGTTAGGCATGTTTTTCTACTGTCATAAGAATGAATGCACTTTTACCTAGGTGGTAATCTGAAATGTGCTACTATTCCTCTCCTTTTCTTTGTATTAGTACTAGTGGCTCCTCTTTTAGTACAAATAACTTACAAAATGTGTCATTCTCACTTCCTTTTTATATTTACCGTTTGTTAGATAGCATTCACTTTCTTTTTCAGAGAGGAAGTATACATTTGCTTGCTATATAATATATTGAGGTCATGTTGATATTGTGTTTACCTTTGTTTTATTTCTGTGTTCTCCTCATTATACTCTGTATAATAGTTTTAATATAAAAGTAATATCTAATTATAAAAAATTAGAAATTACCAAGAAACATTAGTTTTTTTCAAAAAAAAAAAAAAAAACCCAAACATTCTTATTCCTACTATCCAGGGATAATCTTTTAATATTTCAGTCTATCTATCTGTCAGTCTTTCTAAATATACTTGTTTAACTTTGTTAGCTATTTAGGTAGCTTTCAGTATTTCATATCTTAAATACCACCTAAAAAAACTCAAACACACTGCCATCAAGGCAATTCCAATTCACAGCAACCCCTCCTTGGGTTTCCGAAGTGGTATCGCTACAGAAGTAAATTGCCGAGTCTTCCTTCTGAGGAGAGGCAGTATAACAGCCTTCTGATTAGCAGTCATCACATGCCTTAGGCACTATGCCACCAGAGCTCCCGAAATATCAGCTATTCATAAAGAACCAAAGCCGTACTGCAGTAAAACAGCCCACTTTTTATAAGGACATTGTATTCTTAAGAATTATGCTAGTGCCTTAACAATTATTATAAAAATTTCATTAGCAAGATTGAAAGTATTACTGAGGGCCTCAGATCTTGTTAAGCTAGTTTGCATTGCCTTAAATGTGCACAAGCAAATGTACATTGCTTTCATCAGCTTGGAGTTTCCACTTGTAATTGTGTGTAACTGAATTGAATTATGATAGTTTATACCAATTGGCAGTTCTGTTGTGTCCTCTAGGGTCACTATTTGTCGGAGTCAAATAGTGGGATTTTGGTTTATACTAATTGGTATATTAATTTCTGTTTTTCCTCTTTTTTAAAGGTAACGTGGCTTTAGATAATCTACAGATAAAAGAAAATTCTCTGGTAAGTTTTTTTTTTTTTTTTTAATTATGGTAACTCAGCTAATTTGTTAAGTTCTTAGAAACCCTTGGTAACTGGTACCAGATAAAGTGATTGAGTCACTCAGAGAAGGATCACTTGCTTAAATATTTGCTGAAGGGAAATATGAGATTAAAGATTTAGAAATAGTATTTTTTTTTTCCTAATGATCAAAATAGTATCTCTTGGAAAATGGAGTGCTGATTTAACTGTTTAGCTATGTAATAGATAGACATTTTTTCCAGAAAGCAATTTATGTCATTTAATGTTGAGCTTAAAAAAATATAACAAAACAAAAAAAGACATTCCTACTTCCCAAACCCCAAACACCAGTGGGCTTATATTTAGCCTATTGGGCTTAATTTGAGTTTATGAAGTCACTTAAGAATGAGTTTATTCTTTAATTCCTATATCAAAGTTCAAATCAACCAAGAGTGTATTTTATAATCCTAGCTCTGCCTCCTGGTTGGATATGTACAAGATGCCCTGTGTAATTGAGGATAGATTTAAACATGAACTGCTCCCATGATTGATCTTCCATGACTGATCTTAACCCATTAGCATCGAGTTGATTACAAATATAGAGACCCTATAGGACAGAGTAGAACTGATCCATAGGGTTTCCAAGGCTGTAAATCTTTTACAGAAGCAGATTGCCTGGTCTAGGGGGATCTAATTTTGGATATTGAAGATTTTAGGAGTAGAACTTTGTTGCAAGGAGGGAGAAAATGTTCTTTTATTTACTTTGTGTATTGAAAACTGTTTGGCATAGTGGAAAGGGCATGGGCCTTGTAGTGCGGTAGACCTGGATTTGAGAGCTTGCACTCTTCCCAACTGTGTACCTTTTGTCAAGTTTTTAACCTTCGAGTTTCAGTTTAATCATCTTTAAAGTAGACCGAATATAAAACAATAAAATATTTCTGTATTTATGTGTCCAAGTAGGCACCCCAAATATTTTAATTTTTTTTACAACTTCTTAAATTTCATCTGATGAATTTGAAATACATGACCATATGCCTAGACTGGAGTAAAGCTTATTTGAATTGTGTTAACCTAATTTGAATTTTGGTTATAATTAAATATATTATTTTGTAACTCATATTCTGTGTCAATTAAGAATAGCTTCCTTTCAACAATTAAGCCAGATTGGTGAAGGTTTTGTTTAATATGGGTTCTTCACATTGTGTTTTATTAAATTCTTGTCCACCATCTAGAATGCTTGCAGAATCAAATGAGTGGGTAAATTGATTATTTTAGCTAATTTTTACCTAAAGCACTACATTTCAGTAAACAGATTTCCATAGAATTAGTATAGGGAGCCTAGCACAAAGGCTGTATTTACTGTTTTAATATTGCATAATTCTGAAGACTCAGATGATGATTGTGAATATTAATTATTGCTTAGTACTTTGTGAGTAAAAAAGTGGTTTAGAATAAAAAATGAAAGTTTATTGATTGGTATTTGTCAGTAATTTATCTAAATGCTAGTTAGGTAAATAATATCTTGGGAATTTGCCTTTAATATTGTTTCATTTATTCATTTACTAAGTATTTATTTAACTTGAGAGAGAATTGTTCAATTACTGTTTTTAACTCATAATGCAAAAGGACTATTCCTTTTTCTGTTTTAGTATTTCAGGTAAACAGTATCTGTTCTGGTTACCTAGTGCCACTCTGACAGGAATATGCCACAAATGGCATGGCCTTCACAAACAGGAGTTTATTCTCTCATAGTTTGGAGGCTTTGAGCCCGAGTTCAAAATGCCAGGCTCTAGGGGCTGTGTGAAAGCCCCTTGACCTTGGGCTTCAGCTCTGCATCTTGTTCCCGGCCCACTGAAGCTAGAGGCCTTTATTCACTCAGGCACTATTGGCTGCTGAGGCTAACAAGTCCAAGGTGAACAAATAAAATGGCACAGTCCTGATGTTAACAAACCACATGGCAGGCCATTAATTCAAGTCCATTGTAAGTCCCAAGGTCAGTAGAGCATGGCAGGCTGCTGAACAACAGCACAGCTACATGCAGGGTCCAAGCGTACCATAAAGTAGAGACCATTCCCAAAGTTGCTTCTTATATACTGGAAGCAGACCATACAGCCAAAGCAGCTACTCAGCTGCTTGTGGTAGATCCCACCATGGAGTTGATTGCCATTCTCCTCATGGGGAATAACTACCACCAGCTGCCCAACTATTCCACCAGGCCCAGCCAAGTTGACACACAAACATAACGACCACAATATCCATTTACTATTTTGTAATTACATGGACTTTCCATCTGGTTTTTGGTTTGGTTTATTAAAGCAAGTAACCAGTTTACCCAGTTACTTTCTTTGACCATAGACTCTTTTTCCATCATTTATATTTATAATTCTTCTGTGAATTCTTTCTACTAAGTCAAAGTTTTAGTTAACAAGAGACTTCTCTTTTTTGTCAGTTATAACACATATCCCTTATGAGTTACTCAAATATAGAAAATTTGTTTTATGCTTTTACTTGGAGATGATTGTATATTTAAATGATATCATATAAGCAATTTTTTGGGGGGAGATTTAGTTATTCAAAATGTCCTTTAAAATTTTTCTTCCTTCTGAAGAGTGAATTGGATGTCCCTTTTAAAGTCAAGGCTGGCCAAATTGGTAAGTACTTTGCTATTCATTTGAGTTATTATTAGCCCTTTTAGTATCCCCCACCCCTACCCTGGTGTTATTTAATCTATAAAATCTCTTGTAGCTTGAATAAAACTGTGAATCGTTTGGCTTATGTTTATTAGAGTTTCAAGCCTAATTCATATCATATGTAATACATACATACTTTCAACTTTTTTAGCAAAAGGATAGAAAAGAATCTTCTTATGGAAGGGAATTCAAAGTGCAGTTTCAATCTACAACCTTCGGTTTTAGCACACAAAACAAATCTTCATTTTCAAAATTGATAACCACATTTTGTGTCCTTTTCTTTAAATGCGAAAATAGTATAATTTGGAAACTCTAGTAAATAACTTTAAATATAGCTTATTTTCGTCACGTTTTGTTCAATCATTTTCACTTCATATGTTATGCAGCAGTGTGGTATGGAGGATATATTATGGTAAGTAGAAAGTCTTTTTTCACAGTTAAGTTCCTACACTAAGACCATCCATAAGTAGCATACATCTTTGGAATTTTTCAATAGGAAGTTTAATCTTAAGTTCTCCTAACTAGTCCATGCTACCTGCGTTTACCTTTTTTTTTTTTTTTAAATATAAATATCAACCTTGGATAGTTTACTCTTCAGAATTTTCACATTCATCCCACCACTCTGCTACTACACCACATCATTTTTCTTCCTCATTCATCATTTTGTATTTGAGAAGCCTTTCCTATTTAGTAGTAAATACCAATTACTATGCTAGCATCTTTTAGCAATTAGTTAAATACTCTGTTTGAGTATATATTATTTAATGTATATGTATATTCCTTTTAATATAAGTAACTTTTGCAGTTTTTTTTTTCTCTCTTGAAATAAGAGATACTCTCGTAGATTGAAAACATCTCTAGGGCATGTGCTACTTCTTATGTTTATTTGGTCTTTTATGTATAGCCTTGTGCTGTTTGTGTTGATGATATTTAGTGGGGCTCTAGATCTATTGTTGTGGCCTTACATACTTAATTGAAATTCTGGAATGTAGAAGCTGTAGCCATTCATTCATTCTTTTATCTTTAAAATATTTATGCCTGTGTGCTATAAACAGTTTGGAGTCTCCAGGACCACCAAGGGTCTATGATTCACTAGAAGGAACTTACTGGAATCTGTTACACTTACGGTTATAGCTTATTATAGTAAAAGAATACAGATTAAAATTAGTCCAGGGAAGAGGCTCGTGGGGCAGAGACCCGGTGAGTTTCCACTATGAAGCTTCAAGTTGCTCTCTCCTAGTGAAGTCATGAACATAGCTACGTTCATGCTATGATTTATGATAATGCACACAGAGTATTGCCAATCAAGGAAACTCATCTGAGCCTTGGTGTCCAGAGTTTTTACTGGAGCTCAGTCACATGGGCATGGTTGACAACCTGTTTGTTTCACTTCAGTTTCTAGACCCTTTGGAGGTCAGGCTGGTTCTGTGGAGCCCAAACACCACTACCATAAATCACATTGTTGTTGTTGTTGTTATGGGCCGTCGAGTTGGACCCGACTCATAGAGACCCCTCCTTGGGTTTTCGAGGCAGTATCACTATGGAAGTAGATTGCCCCATCTTCCTTCCGAGGAGTGGCTGGTGGGTTTGAACTGCGAGCCTTCTGGTTAGCAGTCAAGTGTCTTAGGCACTACGCTACCAGAGCTCCATAAATCACATTGTTAGTATGGACTATTGGATATGGTCCCTTGCCCCCGGGTGAACAAAGACACTGTTATCGGGCAGGATATTCCCAGGATTTAGAGATCCCTCCCAGGAGAACAGACCTCCCCTGGTCAAGGTTATATCTTTGCTGCACAGAGCCTATGAAAGGGAGAGGCAAGGATCAATGGTATCTTTGTTTCCAAGGAAGTTATAGATGTAGTGTTGAAATTGCATTGTCAGGGTATTAGACAAGTTATAGTTAAGTAAAAGTAAGTTAAAATATTTCACTATATTCTTGAAAGCTAGATTTTCATTTTGGGAGATTTTCTAATGGTTCAGAATTTGTTCTTTTTGCTTTTAATGTGTTACAAGGATTTAATGGGTTCCTTCGGGGTTATTTAGGAGCTCTGGTGGCATAGTGCCTGAGGCATTTGACTGCTAACCAGAAGGGTAGTGGTTCAGACCTACCAGCCACTCCTCAGAAAGAAGACTGGGCAGTCTACTTCCCTAGAGATACCACCTCAGAAACCCAAGGAGAGGTCACTATGAGTCGGATTCGACTCATTGGCAGTGAATTTTTTTTTTTTTTGTTTCAGGATTATTCATTGAGTTATGGGAGACCTTACATACAAAAGGATGCAAAGCATGTTTTCTTTAAAATTTTCCCCCTTTTTTTGGTTTCATAGAGCATTTATGTTTTATTTCTGTTTAGGTTAAAATATAGTACATGACCTGAAGAGTCGATGGTGCCAAATAAGCTCAAGAATGATTTGTGGTTGTTTCTGGGCTATGCTTTTACTTATTTTTTTTTCTTCTTTTTTTAATTAGAACAGTTAGGGATGCAATATAACTAACTGAATTCCAGGGCTTTTTTGAAGGATGGGGGATAGTGAGTTAGGATAAATGCAAAGAAAAAAGGTTTAGGGAAGAGACAGTCCTGTTTCAGTATGCCAGTTAATGGGCTGTTTCCAGCTTTTTCACTGTATGCTTACCAAGAAGTAATGAAATCAATTTTATTAAGTGCTTATGAGATGTAAACAGAACACTACCCATTATAAATAAAGGTGCTTCTCTAAAATTATCGGACTTAGAAGTCACCCAGAAGTGTAGATGACTGGTGCTGCCTCCTTGTTCCCCTGACATGTGAGCCAGTTAATGAACTCAGCAGCTTTAGAAATTGGAGAAAAACAAATGGGGAAATAATTGATGATTTTATCCCTGGCAGTAGATTCTTAGGTAGAACTGGCCTGCCCACATAGCCAGCCTTCCAGATGCCCCAAAACATCCTCTTTTTGTTTGCATTATTTTATTTTCTCCTCAGCTTGTTATACTGTGTTACAGTTCTTTCAACTTTGAGCATCCTCTTTTAAAAATACCAGTGATTAGTTGAATCAGGATCTTTTCTCCTTATAGTCTTGATCAGCAACTTGATCAAAAGCATTGGAGCTTTTAATGGTATTATTATTATTTAATTGTGAAGAGGAAAGATACTTTATTTTGGTACATGGAAAACTTTGTGGGTAAGGAAGGTTTAGGTGGAATTGCTTTGTACTTTTGAGGGCAGATTGGGACATTGATTACCTTGAGACGTAGAAAAAGGGGATACTCGAGAATGGGGGAATGGTAAAGAAAAAAATATGGGAAGACATCAAAGACAAATGTTGCCCATTTCAGAGTTTATTGTGAATACATGCTCTTTTTGCCCTGTGTTCCTTTTTCCCATGAAACTCCAAATTGAGTTAGTAATGTTAGGACCATAGTTCTCTATATTGTAGGCTAGTCTCTGAGGGATTTGACATTAATACCCTTGTTTCTAAGAGAGAAAAAATATTTTGCATTCCAAGTGACTTATAAGTAGATATTTGGAATATAACTGATGTGGAATGCCTGTAAATTGTAATTCTAATTCTAAAATAATATACCTTGCCTTTATAGGTAGCCTCTTTGATTATAGTTGTTTGGCATGCTGTCAAAGTTTGTTCCTTTGGTACTCTTCTCTGTGTTGCTGCTTCAATTCCTGGCACTTTGTATAGGTATTATTTTTAGAAATGATCTTTACAATTTAAAGATTGCCAAAAAGATATTTTACAATTGATCTTTAGTTTTTGGTGTGGAAAGAGCAGCATTATAATGTTGGATTAGGAAGAGCACTAAATTCTGGTTCCAGCATTCTCACTGATACTCTACAGGTAATTAATTTAACCTCTTTGAAATGGAATTGCCTTGTTTTAAAAATTGAAATGATAGCTATATCATTTATTTTACAGTTTTGGAATATTATATTAAATAATAGTAATCAAGAAGCTTGAAAAGTATAAAAAACTAACTGCTGTTGGGTTGGATCCACCTCATAGCAATCCCTCCTTGGGTTTCCAAGGCAGTTATCACTAAGGAAGTAGATTACCCAATCTTCCTTCTGAGGAGTGGCTGGTGGGTTTGAACTGCCAGACTTCTGGTTAGCAGTCAAATGCCTTAGGCACCACGCCATCTCTCTTTATATACTGTATGTATGAATGGTTTTGTTATGCCTTTTCTCTTAATGGAAAGTGAGAAATATGTGTCTTCATGAACAGTTAAATAAGAATTTAAGGTTGAAATTATGTTTCTTTAGATAAATTAACTTTGAAGATTCCTTGGAAGAACCTTTATGGAGAAGCAGTTATTGCAACTCTAGAGGGATTGTATCTGCTTGTTGTCCCTGGAGCAAGTACGTTATTTTAGGACTTAACCATTCAGTAATATCACATTGAAATTAAATTGTTACTTGGTTTAGTATATTCTGTAATAGAGAACATTTTAATAGAATTTACATTAATCATATGTATGTATACAAATGTTTGACATATATGTGCATACACATATATGTACATTTGTGTTACCACGTTTGTATATAAAATGTTTTTATGTTACTGTTGGAAAGAATAATTCCAACCATTTGTTAAGTTTATTCTCTATGAATAATTACTTTGTAACTAAGGCTTCCTGTTAGGTTTAGATGCATTAGACAGATTTATTTTTGGGGAATGAAATTAGATTTTTGTTTTATTTTTAATGTAGTGTTGTGTTAATCTACAGATTTCAAAATTGTTAAAATTTATGAATTTTTCTCCATTTTGTTGCTTCTCATTTTGGTTGAACATTCTCTCAAAAATATGTGTAAAGTAGGTCATTTTTTTTTTCTCTCAGAAAGTACAATACTATAATTTTAAGTGATTGTTTTAAAACAGTCTTACTTACTTAAATTCTGTCTTTAGTTTTTTTTTTTTTTTGTTATGTTGTTGTTGTTATGTGCCATCAAGTCAGACCCGATGCATAGTGACCTCTCCTTGGGTTTCCGAGGCAGTATCACTATGGAAGTAGATTGCCCAACCTTCCTTCTGAGGAGTGGCTGGTGGGTTTGAACTGACAGCCTTCTGGTTAGCAGTCAAGTGACTTAGCCACTACACTACCAGAGCTCCTTTTTAATTATAAGGATACCGTAATGTTAAGAAAAATTTGGATATATTTTTTGGTATTTTAAGAAGCAGTTACTTACAATTTCTCAACCATTATGAAAATACTATTTTAATTGTTGTATTTTGCTTTCTAGTCTTTATCCATATATACGCCAGATATTACAGTATAATATTCGCAACATAAATCTGACTTTTTAATTTAATATATTATTTTTAATGGTTTTCATTGTACCCACCCCCCAAAAAAACCACAAAAAACCCCAAATTCACTGCCGTCTAGTGGATTCGACTCATAGTGACCCCTCCTTGGGTTTCTGAGGTGGTATCGCTGCAGGGGTAGATTGCCCCATCTTCCTTCCAAGGAGTGGCTGGTGGGTTTGAACTGCCCACCTTCTGGTTAGCAGTCAAGTGCCTTAGGCACTATGCTACCAGAGCTCCTAGTTTTCGTAGAGTAATGATAATTTTGAAAGGCTAGGTGAGGAAGGAAACCCAAGGAAGGGTCACTGTGAGTTGGATCCAACTCGATGGCAGTGGGTTTTTAGGTGATAATGCATTGTGGGCTATTTTTTTTTTTTTTTTCACTATTACTGTGAACACTACAGACACCTTTTTTTATAGATATTATTTTTTATTGTTATTTCCTGATCTTTTGTTACCAGAAATGAGATCACTTGATAAAAAGAGGCTGTTTATAGGTTGCTTTCCCTGTCCCTCTTAACCATTCTACTCACCCTTCTCTCTCACCTTTCTTTTTGTTTTCCTTCATCTTTTCCTTAATTTCTTTCTTTCTTTTTGACATAAGTTTTGTAAATAAGTAGGAGTAATTATATTTAAACTTTTTGTAATAGTGCTGAAAATGAAAGTGTTTTTTGACTTAGAGAATATATTTTACACATTGTATACACACACACACACACACACAATCACGGGCTAAACCTTTACCACTTTTTATTTATTAATTACATTCCTTTTCGTATGATTTATCTGCATACTCTTAGGTATTAAATATGATGCTGAAAAAGAAGAAAAAGCTTTGCAGGATATTAAACAGAAAGAGCTATCTCGGGTTGAAGAGGCCATTCAAAAAGCAGCAGAGAAAGGTACAATTTATACGCCTATATTTTAGGTATACTTACATATATAAGCCTATATTTTGAAGTGTTTAATGAGCTCTAAAGATAACGCTTTTATTTTTTGAGACTTTATAAGCTGTAATTCCAAATAATCTTCCTTTAAAGTCCCATCCCAAAATATGGATTATGAATATTTTAATGAGTCCCATTTAGGAATAATTTTCTTTTTTCAGTGATTGCTTCATCTGTGAGTTTGATTTGCTCACTTTTCTTAACCATACCAAACCAACCAAACCCACTGCTGTAAATTGATTCTGACCCATAGAGAACCTATAGGACAGAGTAGAACTGCTCCATGGGGTTTCCAAGGCTGTAATCTTCATGGAAGCAGACTGCCTCATCTTTCTCCTGCAAAGCAGCTAATGGGTTTGAACTTCTGATGTTTTGGTTAGCAGCAAGTATTTCAACCATTGCACCAACAAGGCTCCTTTTTTTTTTTTTTTTTTGATATACTGCTTATGGAGATTTTCCAAATTCCTATGAGTTTTTGCAGGCATGTTTGTTTTGACCAATCCTTCACAGTTTCTTTGTGTGAGCTTTTATTTGTGTTCTTGGGAAGAGAATGAGATTAAGCTTAGTACTATAGTGAAATGATCTTTGGAGGATATGGTGGTGTAATTAATTCTACTGCAAGCTGTATCCCTGTATCTTACCAACCTAAACCAAACCAGACCTGTTGCTGTGGAGTTGATTCCAACTCATTGTGACCCTGTGAGGTACACAGTAGAATTATTCCATAGGCTTTTTTTTTTTTTTTTCAGCTTTCATCTTTATGGAAGCAGATCACAAAGGCTTTTTTGCTGCTTGGTGGGTTTCAACCCCCAACCGTTACATTACTAGTTAAGCACAAACTGTTTGCACTATCCAGGGGGACCCTTATATGTATAGGATATATTTAAAAAGTTTGATTTTTCAGGATTCAGTAGTTTAACATTTTGCCTTAAGTTCACACACACACATATATAAACATATGTCTTAATATATGTATTTTTAATGGACATTATTTTTTAGAACAGTTTCAATTTTATAAAAAAAAATGTGCAGAAAGTAGAGAGAATTCTCATATACCTCCTCTGCTCCTGCACATATTTTTTTATTACTAACATCTTGCATGGTGCATTTGCTATAATTGATGAACCACTATTGATTGATTATTTTAAACTAAAGCTCATAGATTGCATTAGGGTTCACTCTTGTGTTATGTAGTCCTACGGGTTTTGACAAGTAAATAATGCCATGTGTTCACTATTACAGTATAGTACAGAATAGTTTCATTCCCTCAGTTGCCTTAAGTTTTAATTACTGTTTTTATGTAAGAATAAATATGATTACTATTTTGATTTGCTTTATAGAGCAAGAACAAAGGATAAGATGACCAAGAGTAATCTATAAAATGATGAGTTAAAGGAATTTTCCAAACCTAGAATTTTTTTCTCTTTTAAGTGAAATCATACCCCAGTTGCTGCTTGGTCTATGAGGATTACTAGCATTTCCCATCAGTGTTGTGTCATTTGGTAGGATATATATGTATTTCTGAGATACAGAACGGTGATAAGAGAACTAGTCAGGCAATTGTCAGAACTGTTTGGTCTCTTAAATTATATGGCAATAATTGAGTTAGAAATGACATAAATTATATTTAGACATAAGAGGATTTTATATTTTGGTTTAAGCTACTTACATTTAATTGAATTATTAAGAAACCTGTTTGCCCATTGGAATTCTTTAACAGTGATTCTAAATCTTTTTGCCCCAGATATTTTCTCCTATGCAAAATTATGAATTCTTTCTTTCTTTTTTTAATGAAAAATTTACCAAATTACTTAAAATACAGAGTTACCATGATACCATAAAGAAATTTAAAAAGCCTAAGATATTTTCCCTTTCTGTTTTCACATTTAAGTATATTTTGTGTTTTTGCTGAAGCTAGGAATCTACATTTTTTAACATATTTGTTTACATTATTTTTATGTGCCAAATAAAATAAGCTATAATGGTTTTGTTTCATGCCAGTTTAGTGTGATTATTTCTATTTATTTTTACTCAGTTCTGACTACTTAGAATATATGGAGAAATAACACTAGAAAAATGAGAAGAAAAACTTGAAAAGCCTTAATTTCTTTCTTGTAACTGTTCAACTTAAATATATTATCTTAATATCTATATAATTTTATACATTCATTAGTAAATATATTGACATACACTTAAATATATTGATATAACTAATTACACATTTGTAATTTGTAATATATGATTAATTTATACTTTCC